CTGAATTAACTACTTTCTTAACTTACAGACACAGTCCTGTCACAAGGCCTAGTGAATTGAGTGAACCAGAACATAGCTGCTCTCACATCCAGTTCCCTCTGGCTGACCCCCACCCCTGGGCTGGAATTACAGTTGTATGCTGCCTTGTCTGGCTTTTAACGTGGGTGCTGGGAATCCAAATTTAAGTTCCCATGCTTCCACAGCAAGTGATTTACTGACTGAGTCATCTCCCCAGCTTCTGGCATTTTCATTTTTAAATGTAAAAACACATCAACTTAGTCATTTCCCAAAGGTTATACTATAATAAATCACAAGTACAGTCTTGGAATTTTTTTTTTTTTTTAATTTTATTTGTCATTTTGAAACAGGGTCTCCCTGTAGCCCCAGCTGGCCTGGAACTCACTATGTAAACCAGGCTGGCCTTGAACTCACAGGGGGATCCACTTGCCTCTGCTTCCCAACTGCTGGTACTATAGGTGTGTGCCACCATGCCCAGGCTAAAAAATTTTTTAAATGTATTTTCTTATGTGTATGACTGTTTTGACTACATGTATGTAAGTACATCCATGCGTGTAATGCCCACAGAAGCCAGAAGTCATCAGATCCCCTTGAATTGGATTACTGATGGTTGTTAGCCACCATCTGAGGCTGGGAACTGAGCCCAGGTCTTCTGAAAGAGCAGCCAATGCTCTTAACCACTGAGCTATCTCTCCTGCCCCTGAATTTTTTATTTCTGATTTCCTTTTTCCTCAGTTTTTCCTCTTTAATTATAGCCCTAGGTCTTTTTTTTTTTTTTTCCTTTGAGACAAGGTCTCTGTAGCCCCATGACCTGGAACTCATGTAGACCAGGCTGGCCTTGATTTAACAGATCTGCCTGTCCCTGGCTCCTGAGTGCTGGAGTTGAAGGCATGTGCCACCACCCCTGACTCCTACATATCTTTTCTTTTTAGGTACATGAAAATTTTCAAAGATGAAAATAGGGAGATATAAAAGTAAGCATGAACCCTAATGGTAAACTGTAGACCTTGGGTGATTATGATCTGTCAGTGTAGACTCATTAGTTGTAACAGACACTACTCTGGTGGACAATATTGATCATGTAGGCACTATGCCTTGTGAGACCTGCAGGTACATGGGAACTTTCTACCTTTCACTTTTGCTATAAACTAAAGCTGGTCTAGGTAAGTTTAGGGTTTTGTTGTTTTATTTATTTATTTATTTATTTATTTATTTATTTATTTAATTATTTGGGGTATTTATTTATTTATTTATTTATTTTCTTCCCCTTGAAGCTGAGGACTGAACCCAGGGCCTTGCACTTCCTAGGCAAGCGTTCTACTACTGAGCTAAATCCCCAACCCCTTGTTTTTACTTATTTTTTAAAGGATGCCAGACTCTTCTCAGAGAAACCTCTACTGCTCACCCTTTCTGGCTACCACTTGTTACTGAACGCTATCTATTTCCCTCATAGTACCTCATGGTACCTGCTACTGTTTGTAAATATTTGCTTATAGTCTGAATCTCCCTCTGGTTTGTTTGCCTGATACTACAACACACTAGAAAAGTCAATTTTTTTGAGGAGGGGGTAGGGGAAACAGGGGCTTGAATTCAGGGTCTCACTATGTAGCCCATGTAGACTTGAACTTGTGAACCTCTTGCCTCTGTTTCCCCATTGCTGGGATTATGGGCATGCTCCACTAGCCTAGCCTAGCAATGTGTATTTTCTTAATAGAAAGCAAAGGTAAGAAGAGAGACTGATATAATAAGTCACCATGTATTTTATCAGCCAGATAGCAACATTTTCTATAAACAACATTTAGTTTCATATATTATACCATCTTAGCCTGTAAATATTTTTTCAGTATACATATCAGATATATAAAAGGATTTAAAATAATTAATGCTGTTATTGTGGTAACAGAATTAAGTAATTCTTTAACATAATCTAAGCCTAATAGCCAGTATATTTCTCTGGTTGTCTCACAAGTATGTTTTTACATTTAGTTTTAGACAGCATCCACATGTGGTTCACACATAGCATTTGATTCTCATTACTCTCCAGTCTCTTATTCTATAATAAGCAGCCTCTGCTACTTTTCCATGGTTCTCCCCCCAATTTACACAATTCTCCTATGTCAGCCTCTCCAGTGCTGGGATTACAGGCATGCACACATATACCTGGTTCAAGTGCTATTTTGTGTATGTGGGTATATATGTGTGTGCTTGTGTACTTTCTGTCCTTTTTTTGAGACAGGGTCTCACTGTGTATCCCTGGCTGGCTTGGAACTCAACTTCATAGACTACTGGCCTGCAGCTCATAGAGATCCACCTGCTGCTGCCTCCTGAGTGCTGAGATAAAAGCATGCACCACCACGCCTTGCCCTAGTAAATGTTTTAATTAGATATAAACAAGATTGACAGACTGCTAGCCCAGTTAACCAAAAGAAAGAAAGCACCTCCAAATCAACAAAATCAGAGATGAAAGGGGAAACATGACAACAGACACCAAAAAGATCCAGAACATTATAAGGGAATACTTCAAAAACCTATATGCTACTAAATTTGAAAACCTAAAAGAAATGGACGGGTCTCTAAAAGCATGGGAACCACCAAAACTAAACCAAGAAGAGATCCAACAGCTTAAACAGACCCATAACACATAAGGAAATTGAAACAGTAATACAAAACTGCCTGACTAAAAAAAGCCCAGGACCAGATGGATTTACAGCAGAATTCTACCAGACATTTAAAGAAGATCTACATCCAATACTACTTAATTTATTCAAAAAGAGATAGAAATGGAGGTAGAAGCCGGGCGTGGTGGCGCACGCTTGTAATCCCAGCACTTGGGAGGCAGAGGCAGGCAGATCTCTGTGAGTTCAAGGCCAGCCTGGTCTACATAGTGAGTTCCAGGACAGCTGGGGCTACAGGGAGACCCTGCTTCAAAAAAACAAAAAAAAAAAAAAGAAATGGAGGTAGAACTTCCAAATTCCTTCTATGAAGCCAGTATCACTTTTCTTAAAATGTTTTTGAGAGAGGATCTTACTTTGTGGCGCTGGCTGACCTGGAGCTCTATGTAGACCAAGCTGGTCTTAAACTCACAGATCTTTGCCTGCCTCTTGCCTCCGGAGTACTGGGATTGAAGGCAATTGTCATCATGCATGACCTTTAATAACATATTTTGTATTATATAACCCCCTTTCTAAGGAAAGTAATAGGTACTATACACAGTAGTATTTGGTACTACTTTTTAGCAATGTAGTCAGCAGATCACACTTTATTAACATGCAGAACTTTTAAATAGCTGCATAGTGATCCATTGTATGGGTTGCCTTGGTTATTTAACCAATCTCATACTAATTCAGCCTCCCTTTTAAATCCTTAGGGGACCATTCTTATGTGGTCAAATAAGATGTAAGAGTTTAATATGATTGAAAAAGTTTTTTTGAGACAGGAGCTCATTTAGCTCAGGCCAGCCTAGAACTTGTTTAGCTGAGGATGACCTTCAAGCCTCTACCTCCCAAGTGCTAGGATTACAAGCATGAACCTGGTTTATTAGGCATCCAGGACTTTGTGCATGCTAGGCAAGCACTTTACCAACTGAACTATATCACTAGCCCTAAGATTGAAAATTTAAAAATACTGAAATCTCTTTCTCTATTGTATCCTTAAATGTATTCAAGAGTGAATGAAGGCTTTCTTAAAATGAATTTTATTTGGCCTTTTTGAATTTACTTTTTCTTTGTTTTTTATAACAAAGAAAACTTTTATAATAAAAGTTACATAATACCTTTTCTTCTTTTGGCCTTTTTTTGAGACAGGGTCTCCCTGTAGCCTCAGCTGGTCTGGAATTCACTATGTCCACCAGGCTGTTCTCTGTCTTACAGAGATCCACCCACTTCTACCTCCATAGTGCTGGGATTAAAGGTGTGCTCCTCTCCCTGCACCTGGCCTGATTTACTTTTGGGTGTGTGTTGGTGTGTGTGTTGGTATACACATTCTGATTTACTTTTTTTTTTAAATTATTTTTATTGTATGTGTATGTGTATTGCCTGCATGTAGGTAAGTGCACCCATGTCGTGCAATGCCCATGAAGGATAGAAGAGGCTGTCGGATCCCCTGGTACTAGAGTTACAGACGGTTGTTAGCTGCCATGTGGGTGCTGGGATTCGAACCTGGGTCTTCTGCAAGAAAATCAGTGTTCTTAACCACTGAGCCATCTCTCCAGTCCCCCTGATTTACTTTTTTTTTTTTTTGGTCCTTTTGAGACAAGGTCTCCCTGTAGCCCCAGCTGGCCTGGATTTGCTACGGAGACCAGGCTGGCCTCGAACTCACAGAGATCTGCCTGCCTCTGCCTCCCAAGTGCTGAGATTAAAGGCGTGTGCCACCATGCCCAGCTGATTTACTTTTTAAACTGTTTATGATGGGAATATTTTAAATCTTTTGCCATAATAGATAATTCGGGTATCATTCTGTTACTGTTAGCCATATCGTGCCCAAAAACAACTTGGGGGAACAAAAGGTTTATTTCCACGTCACAATCCATAAATGAGGAGAGTCAGGCAGGAATTCAAGCAAGAGCTTGGAAGAACACTGCTTGCTGGTTCTTTTAACCTAGGGCTATATGCCTAGGAACTGTACTGCCCACAGTGGGCTGGGCCCTTTGTTATCAATTAATTATCAAGACAGTCTTTCATAGACATGCCCACAGGCCAATCTAATCTAGGCAATTCTTCAATTAAGACTAACCAGTATTTTTGTATTTAATGATACTCTATGCATTTCATGGCCAGGTGTGGTGGAGCACACCTTTGATCTCAGCACTTTGGGAGGCAGAGGCCAGCTGGGGCTACAGGGAAACCCTGTCTTCAGAAAGACCCGCCCCCTCCCAAACCAAACTATGCATTTCATTATTTATACTGGGGATTTTGCTGTTGTAATTTTTATAGTATGTAGATATGACTGTTCTGTTAATAGTAATATTTTCTCTCTTGAATCAGATGTTCTGCCTTATTCAATACGGGTCCTGTTGGAAGCTGCTGTACGAAATTGTGATGGCTTTTTAATGAAAAAGGAGGATGTTATGAACATTTTAGACTGGAAAACCAAACAAAGCAATGTTGAAGTGCCCTTTTTCCCTGCCCGTGTTCTTCTTCAAGATTTTACGTGAGTAACAGGTTCTAGTCCTATATTATTACCTGTGCTGCAACTGCAGTAGTCTCTTAGAGCCTCCCCATGTCACTGAGCCTCTGTCACAGAATAAAACCCAGATTTCTTTACTGTAGCCTAAAATACATTATCTGATGGGAATGTCTAAGGATTATTTATTGGAAGTGTAAATCCTGACCCAAATTTTGAAGGAGCCTAGGAGTTGGCCAGAGCATCCCTCTCACCTGTTCACACAAACCTGGTTTCTGTGCCACTAATGTGTTGCATCCTGTATATACCACTATTGTGCTAAACATCAATTTATTTTCCTTACAAATTCCTGGAGAGCCAGCACTATATCATTGTGTGAAGCATATTGAAATCATTTGGTACATGGCGCACTCTCTGTCTCTGTCTCTCATTTTTTTATATATATAAAATTGATAATTAATAACAATGGGCCCAGCCTGCTGTGGGCAGTACAATTCCTAGGCATACGGACCTAGATTAAGAGAACCAGCAAGAAGTGTTCTTCCAAGCTCTTGCTTGAATTCTGCCCTGACTTCCCTCATTTATGGACTGTGACCTGGAAATAAACCTTTTCTTTCCCTAAGTTGCTTTTGGGAATGATACAGCTCACAGGAACAGAATGATAATTGAATTATCTATTATAGCAAAAAATTTAAAATATTCCCATAATAAAAAAATTTGTGTGGATTAATGTCAAGAGGTAAAACCTATTATGAATAGCTTTGAGATAATCCAAGGACTGTGGAGGAAAAAGGGCCTGAAGGAGAGAGTGGCCCAGGCAGTTCTCTGGGTGTGTTCACTCATAACCTCCAGCACTCATTTCTTCTGTTCTTTTTGGCACATCTACCCCTGAGCACTCAAGTTCTCAGATAGTGTTAATTCTCTTTAAGCCATGAGGTATGTCTAATTTTGGATCTTAAGTAAATTATCAAAAATAAACACAGAAAAAAAGATTGTTTTTCAAAATAAAAATAAGTATTAAGAAGTAATTAGACCTGTAATTTGATCGTGCTCTCTTTTTTAGTGGAATACCGGCAATGGTGGATTTTGCTGCTATGAGGGAGGCAGTGAAAACTCTCGGAGGTGATCCTAAGAAAGTCCATCCTGCCTGTCCAACAGACCTTACAGTTGACCATTCTTTGCAAATTGACTTCAGTAAATGGTACTATAATATAGATATCTATGAAGACAGTCATGTTAACTGGAAGTAGGTGGGATAGAGGAAAAGGAATAGATTTCAGGCAGAGTAAAGCATACTGTGTTTGTAATGCTTGACTAGTGTATTGAAGAATCTGGAAATTTTTTGGATTAATGTAATTTTCTGTACATCAATTCTGAGTTTAAAGCTATTTTCATGTTTCTATATTTCTGTTAACCATATTTAATAGAAGCATACTGGCCTATAACTTGCTATTTGGAGTAAGTTACTGAACTAAGTTAGTTTCTTTTTTTTCTTGCGAGTTTTAGAGCCAGGGTCTCAGTATTCAGCCCTGACTGGCCTGGAACCCTTTTTGTAATCTAAATTGGTCTCAAACTCTTCCTCTGCCTCCCAAGTGGTGGTATTATGTGCATGCATCACCACATCCAGCTTCATTTCTTTTTTGTTTTTTAGTAAAAAAAAAAAAAATCTTTTTTACCTTTTAGAGAAAATCTAAAGGTTTGTCTTTAATTGGTGGTCGAAAATACTGAGTCCACTAAAGCTCCATTTTCCTGCCACTGAAATGTTTTATACATTTCTTAGGCTTCTATAACTCATGAGAGAGCTTATTCTGTATTAAAATTGTCTATGTTCTTTTAAGTCATTACCAATTATATTAGTACTTGCTCAAAGTTATTATTTTTCTCCTATAATCTGAAATTTGCTTTGGACATCTGAGTTAGGGGGATGTATCCTTTGGACATCATGGACTTTCAGATAGACTTGCTAATGGGCATTTTTTGAAAGCTATGTTTCTGTCACTTTTAAATGTTCTGTTTTTGTGTTTTTGTTTCCTTTTGGAACAATAGTGCAATACAAAATGCACCAAATCCTGGAGGTGGAGACCTGCAGAAAGCAGGAAAGCTCTCTCCACTTAAAGTGCAGCCTAAGAAGCTTCCCTGCCGAGGCCAGACTACCTGCCGAGGATCATGTGACTCTGGAGAACTAAGCCGAAACTCAGGAATGTTTTCTTCGCAGATTGAGAATACACCCATCCTGTGTCCTTTTCATTTGCAACCAGTGCCTGAGTATGAAATTGTTTCTGTAATGTTTACTAGTGCCAGATTATTTTGCAGTTAAGAAACATTCTTCATCTGATTCCTGTTACATTGTCTTCATAGCTTATGTGTTTTTTTGATTTTTGTAATCCAGGCTGGTCTAGAATTCCAGATAATCATAAACAGACAACACTTGGTTTAAGAAATATTGGCACATTTAGAATAGCTAAAAAATACATACATATGAGCCAGATGTGGTGGTGCACGCCTTTAATCCCAGCAGAGGGAGGCCTGCCTGGTCTCCATAGTGAATCCAGGACAGCTGGAGCTACAGGGAGACCCTGTCTCAAAAAGACCCCCCCCCTAAAAAAAGAATACACACACACGCATACATATATGCATGTTAAATGTCATTTCATTAGTTTGAAGCCTTTGGAGTGGATCTTCCAAGTTCTGTCATATTCTAAAATTTTGGTTAGTATGTTTTTTCAAGATTTTTAAAAAATTATTTTAAACTTTGTATGAGTAGCTGGGCATGGTGGCACACACCTTTGATCCCAGCAGCACCCAGGAGGGAGGCACTTTTTTGTGTGTGAAAATAGTAACTAATTTTTCTTTTGCATCAGTGAAGTAGTGACTGTAAGTACAAAGAGGGAATTGAGGGGTAAAAATGATCAGAGTTTAGCATTTGGCCCTTGAAATCAGTGTCATTTGAAATCATATGTGCTAATAAGCAAATGGCATTTTGTAGCCCTAAGTACTGTGGAGAGGTCAAATAATAGAAGTGCTAGAAATCTGTGTTCTCTAAGGTCCTGAGACTGCTGCTGTGGCTGCAAAATTCACTCAGCTGTCAATTATTAAAATAATTTTCGGGGCTGGAGAGATGGCTCAGTGGTTAAAAGCACTGGCTGCTCTTGCAGAGGACCAGGATTTGATTCCCAGCACCCACATGGCGGCAATGAACTGTCCATAACTCCAGTTCCAGGGGAATCCGAAGCCCTCTTCTGACCTCTGTGCCATTGCATGACACGGGTGCTCTTACATACATGCAGGCAATACACATACACATAAAATAAAAATAAAAAATAAATTTTTTTTTAAAAAGTTCACAAAGAACTATAATTTTTGAACTCTAGATGACATGCAGAATTTAAGTTTTATTGATATTCTAGAAAATCACCAGCTAGTAAATTGAATTGAACAACTTAAAGTAGGTTGGAATAATTTTGTGTGTGTGTGTGTGTTTGTGTGTGTGTGTCTTTTTGAAGCAGGGACTCCCTGTAGCCCTGGCTGTCCTGGAACTCACTATGTAGACCAGGCTGGCCTTGAACTCATGGAGATCCGCCTGCCTCTGCCTCCTGAGTGCTGGGATTAAAGGTGTGCACCACCATACCTGGCTGGAATAAATTTTTTAAGACATCCATTAAATTTTCTTTCTTTTCTGTCTTTTTGAGAAAAAAAGATCCATTAAATTTTCTTTTTTTTCTGTCTCCCTGTAGTCCCAGCTGGCCTCAAACTCACAGAGATCTGCCTGCCTCTGCCTCCCAAGTGCTGGGATTAAAGGCATGCACCACCATGCCTGGCAACAGTGTATTTTTAAGTAGTTTTAAACACTGATGTGGACATTGCCTTGTTATATTTAGTAAGATAATTTTTCTGTAGCTGTCCTTTGTGTTATGCAAAGCAGCAAGAGGTTCCTTGTCAAGAAAGAGAATAATTCTGAGAAACCTAGTAAGTTATTGTAAGGATTTTAAAAATGTGTATGTGTCTATAAGAATGAAGACTTCTAGCACAGACCTTTAATCCCAGCACTTGGGATGCAGAGACAGGTGGATCTCTTGTGAGTTTGAGGCCAGTGTGGCCTACTTAGGGAGTTCCAGGCCAGCTGGTACTACAGGGAGACACTGTCTGAAAAACTAATACGCATAAAATAGATAAAATACTAAAAAAAAAAAAAAAAAACGAAGATTTCTAATACAAGACAAATCTTTTTTTGCAATGCATGCATTTAATACCAGCTTTTCTTCCTTTTAGACCTGAAACAGTGTTAAAAAATCAAGAAGTAGAATTTGGCAGAAATCGAGAGAGGCTTCAGTTTTTCAAGGTAAAATGATCTAGGGAAATTTTGTAATGATAAGCACAGTTTTTATATCTAGACTTATGATTATTAAAAGCTTTATAGTAATAGAAACTTTTTGTTTCACCCAAAACAGTAAGATTCCAAAATGTTATTGGAAATTATCTTATTGAAAACAAAAAAAAGAAAACAGCAACTATATTTCAAGTGACCAGTGGACAACCTTGTGGTTCATGGCCCCGGTTTTCCTTGAGTCTTGGGAACATAGTTTCTGGTCTAGAACTGGCTGTGTAGTTGAAGATGACCTTGAACAGTTCTCCTGCTTGCACCTCCCTAATTTTGCAATTGCAGGTGTGGGACACTGTGCCCAGCTTATTTAGTCTTCAGAATAAATATCTAGACTCAGTATCTGCTTTTTTTTTTATGTAGTGTAAGCTTTGAATTGACCATATTGAACATTGGCTAACAATTTTAGTGTCCATATTTATTTGTATCTTGATTATGAATGCGAACTAATACAGTGAACTAACACTGTCTCTTCAATCCAAACAAAATATAGTGGAGCTCAAGAGTTTTTAAGAATGTAGCTGTCATCCCTCCTGGAACTGGAATGGCTCATCAAGTAAACTTAGAATATTTGTCAAGAGTAGTTTTTGAAGAAAAGAATCTCCTCTTCCCAGACAGTGTAGTTGGCACCGACTCTCATATAACCATGGTGAATGGTTTGGGAATCCTTGGGTGGGGTAAGTAAATGCCTAAATGTATTTGGTTTCTTTTGGGGAGGGGATGTCAAGAACATTATCAGAGAGTAAGTGACCTCTTTGAGCCTCTTTTTTCATCTTGGCAACAAAAGGACACAACTTAAATGTTTATAAATTGTGTAAAATTTATGAAAAAACAGCTGGGTATGGTGGCGCATGCCTTTAATCACAGCACTTGGGAGGCAGAGGCTGACAGATCTCTGAGTTCAAGGCCATCCTGGTCTACATAGTGAGTTCCAGGACAGCTGGGGCTACAGGGGGACCCTGTCTCAAAAAGACCAAAAAAAAAAAAAAAAATTATGAAAAATTTTGAAGCTATTGCAGTGGATGCTGAGGAAACTCTGATCCTATTGATGATGGCCATAATGGTACTCTGAATAGCATTGAACATCTACTTTTATAAATCAAAATTTCTTTAGGTCATTTTATTTATGGTCCTTTATGACTTATGCCTCACTCACTGTTTTTCACCCCTATTGCTGGAATGTAGCTAGTATTAGTTCCTGTTTCATGATTAAGCACAGTAGCTTCTTAGAGCCATAATTCCTCTCATCAAGTTAAGAGTAGTACCCCATTCTTTTAAGAATGTCTACTGTTCTTCCAGAGTATCTGAGTTCAATTCTCACCACCCATATAAGGCTGCTCATAACTACCTGTAACTCCAGCTCCAGGGGATCCAATACCTCTGGCCTGTTTGGGCACCCGCATTCAGCATGCACGTACCTACACATAGATGCACATACACATGATTAAAAATAAATTTAAAAAAAAAAATGCCCTGTCTGTACTTAATTGTTTTGTAGGATGTTACTATTATTGTTATTGTTTTCTTTTTAACTTAGACACAGCTCCATTAGACTATAAAGTTGACAAACTGGGTTGTATTTATACCTGTGTGTTGATGGTAGAACATTGTACAACATACACTCACAAAATGTTTACTAATTTGATACAAAAGCAAAAATTCCAGTTTTCTCAATGATGAGAGTGGAGTCATTGATTTTTTAAAAGACTTGTGTTCAAGGTCCACAGTAAAAGTACTTGAGTAGCTCTTTATACGGTGCTGTGTGTAAGTCAAGCTCATGAAACACTTGAAGATTGTAAATGTTGCAGGGCTAATTTAAGTTATCTTTAAATGTCCTCTACTAATATGCATGTCCTTACTACTAGGAGTTGGAGGCATTGAAACAGAAGCAGTTATGCTTGGTCTACCAATTTCTCTTACTTTACCAGAGGTAGTTGGATGTGAGTTAACTGGGCCATCTAATCCTTTTGTTACATCCATAGATATTGTTCTTGGCATTACAAAGGTAAGTTAAAGTTGTAGTAGTTCTGTGAGTTACTGAAAATTTTTATATAAGTGGAGCAGCCCCACAAGAGCTGGGATTTGGGTTCATTCCTCTCTCCTTAGTCCTCACATTATTAGCTACATCATAAAGTTACCATAGTAATTAGAACAAAATTTAAAAATTTTTATGATACTAAGCATAAAAAATTGTCATTATACACTTGATTCATGTGAACACATTTATTAAATCACCTTGTTACAAGCCTGTTTGGTAGGTACTGTTGTAATTATTTTAATTCTGAGAAGAACATTGAGACACATGAGATCTGATTATTTACCAGAGGAACCTAGGGCAGAATGGTAAGTGGGAGACCACGGATTCTGACCCTGGCAATCAGGTTCTTGAGTCTATGCCCTTATTAACCATTCTTGCATTTTTGCTTCAACAAATAGCTTGTTGATTACATGGATTTAAAAAATATCATTTCACATTGTGACTGAGGAGTCAGATGTGGTGGCTCATACCTATAATCCCTGCACTCAAGAGGTTGGGGGCAGGAAGATCAGTTAAAAGGCCAGGCTCCAAAAATTTTTATTTTTGCTTATGTATGTGTATATGTGTGTCTGTGTTCAAGTGTATACAGGTACACGTGGAGGCCAAACAACAACCTTCAGTATCAATCGTCTGGTGCTACCCATCGGCCTGGACCTCTCCAAGTAGGCTAGGCTGGGTACCAGAGCCCTAGAAATCCACCTGTCTGTGCCTCCCGAGAGCTGGGATTATAGGCACATGCTATCATGCTTGACCTTTTTGAAAAACAAAAACAACCCGAGTGTGGTGGCACATGTTTTAATCCCAGAGGCAGAGGCAGGCATATCTTTGTGAGTTCCAGGCCAGCTGGGGCTACAGGGAGACCCTGTCTCAGAAAGACAGAAACATAAAGGGTTCTGGGTATTGAGCTCAGGTCCTCCTGCTTATAAGGCAGTTTACCACTTTACCAATTGTGTAATCTCCCCAGGCCCTACTTCCCAATTAAAGTTGTTCATTACATTTATTTGTTTATTTTGTGTGAGTGCTATGGCATATAGGAGGTCAGAGAATAACTTGGAAGTTGATTCTCTCCTACTGTGGGTCCTGAGGCTCAAAGATGAATCAGGCTTGGTGGCAAGCACCTTTACCAGCTGTGTTATTTCTCTGCCCTTCCTCCTAATTTTTAAATAGTTAAATCATTTGTTTTAAAACTATTACTATATGCTTTTAAAAATATGAACAAATATGGTAGTGTTAAACTTCTCTATTGACTGTTTTAGCATCTCTTTGAAGTATCACATAACTTTCTCTGAACTTGTAAAATGTTGACCGTATTGTGTTTAATACAATGAACAGTACATTCTGACTTTACAGCCTAATTTTGTAGTTTTCACTAATTTCAATTAAGTCGCATTTTAAAAATGGTTGCACTTGAGGCCGGCGTGGTGGCACACATCTTTAATCCCAGCACTCAGAAGGCAGAGGCAGGAGAATCTCTGAGTTCAAGGCCAGCCCTGGCCTATATAGTGAGTTCCAGGACAGCTGGGCCTACAGGGAGACCCTCTCTCAGAAAGACAAAAAAAAAAAAAGGTTGCACTTGGAACATGTTCCACACATGATTCCAATTTATTATTTTTTAAAATATTATATTTTCTTTTTTAATTTTATGTGTACAAGTATATTGCCTGCACGTATGTGAGTGCACCGGTGTTGTGCAATGCTGCAGAGGTCAGAAGAGGGCATCAGATTCCCCTGGAACTGGAGTTAAGGATGGTTCTTAGCTGCCATGTGGGTACTGGAAATTGAACCCTACAAGAACAATCAGTGCTCTTAATTGCTGAGCCATCTCTCCAGCCCCATAATTCCAATTTATATTCCAGCCTCTCAGTGGTTCTGATTAAATTATTCATGTGGGGGCTGGAGACATGGCTCAGCATTTAAAGAGTACTGACTGCTCTTCCAGAGGACCCAGGTTCGGTTCCTAGCACCCACATGGTGGCTAACAATTAATTGTCTGTAACTCCATTTTCAGGGAATCCTACACCCCTCCTGGCATCGGTGGGCATTGCACACAGGGTACATTCTCATATATGCAGACAAAACACTCCTACACATAAAAATAAATTGGTGTGAAGGCTTTGGGAATATGCCACAGGGTAAAATGGTAGTGTCACCTCAGCATTTATAATTATCCCTTTTCCCTGATGAGGAAACATTGACACCTTAGTAAAATGATTAATTGAATACATGGTGTCAAACATCACAAAGTTAAACTGAGAATTACAGGATTTATTCCTAAAGGAAAAGAAATGTTCTGTTTTGAGTTTAAAGAGATCACTACTTCAACTGTCCTAAATGCTAAGGCTACTTTTTAGTTCCTTCTGTTTTTACTTAGTAATACTATTGTCTCTGTGGCTGACAGGTTATTGTTGAAGAATTTTAATCTATTACATGTTTGTTGAATATTATTTTTTGAGGTCATATTCATAACCTTTATAGGATTAACTATACGCTAATTTTTTCCGATTCATATTTTGGTGCCACATTAATTTGATGAAGGCAACACTCAACTTAGTATATCTTTTTTTTTTTTTTGGTCTTTCTTGAGACAGAGTCTTCCTGTAGACCCAGCTGGCCTTGAAATCACAAAGATTCGCCTGTCTCTGCCTTCCGAGTGCTGGGACTAAAAGCATGTGCATCATGCCCAGCTTCAACTTGGCATATATCTAATCTAATTTTGTTTTTATCCTTAAAAACTATAATTATAAAGAGACATTAGCTTAAGGTTTGATTTTTGTTTTACATCTAGAAAAGTTTGTATTACGTAATCTTGGATGCCTGTAAAATGTTAGCATTTAACGTTATTCTTAGGTTGAGGACTGTTTCCTTCTCAACTCCCTAGGCACTTTTCCCATGCTAGTTGGAGACTAATTTTCAAATTTAGAAAGATGAATGTTGTTTTGCTTACTTGGTGGTAATGACAAATGATGTTTGGAGGAATTCACTTTGAAACCACATGTTAAATCATACCATAATGAATTTACCTGTAATTAATGTTGCTGTAAATATTTGAGCCAGGACTAATGATTTGAAGAATTTTTCTAATGGCATATAATTTTATTTTCACCTGTATAGTCTCTTTAGTATATTAGTATTATTAATTACAAGATGCCATCAGTGGTTAGAAGCACCATTGTTTTATGTGCTGCTCTGAAAGAAAGGGTCTGCCAGCTATATTAGGCACTCCAAGGAATCTAAGATAGATTCTGATTTCAAGAGATAGTAATATAAGAATTGTAGCCTTCTTGGGGCTGGAGAGATGGCTCAGTGGTTAAGAGCACTGGCTGCTCTTGCAGGGGACCCTGGTTTGATTCCTAGCACCCACATAGCAGCTATCAATCATCCATAACTCCAGTTGTGGGGATCTGACGCCCTCTTCTGCCCTCCTTGGGCATTGCAGGACATGGGTGCACTTACCTACATTCAAGCAGTACACTCATACAATAAGAATAAAAAAATTTTTTTTTTAAAAGAAAGAATTGTAGCCTTCTTGAGCTTTTAGACTTTTTAAAAATCCTAATGATGACCATTAGACCATCCATTTATTTACTTTTTATCTTAAAATACCAGTAAAACTAGTGAGTTTGTTTTATAACAATGAAAGCTCTTAACCTAGTATTGATTAAAAATTAGATATATACTTTTTCAGAAATCCATGCTGATTTTATCATTGCTGATATTGTGTTGTTTCTGCATATCCCTAAAAGCACCTCAGACAAGTAGGAGTAGCTGGAAAGTTCGTCGAGTTTTTTGGGAATGGAGTTTCACAATTATCTATCGTTGATCGAACTACAATAGCAAACATGTGTCCAGAATATGGTGCTATCCTCAGCTTTTTCCCTGTTGACAATGTGACACTAAGACATTTAGAACATACAGGTAAGAGAATATAAAATTGTTGTATTTCCCGTATTTTCAATATCTTTCCATAAATTGCTATGTCATGTTATTAAATGTTATGAAATTTTCATTTTGAAACAGTGACTCTCAGATCTTACCAGGTGTCTCTAAAGAGTGTTGTATCCTCAAAACTGAGTTCTTTTCAATTCACTGACAGCAGTAGTTTAAAGGAATTATTCAAGCCACTGATCTTTATTTCGCCTTTTTCCCATAAGGAAGACTCCCTCCACCCCATTCAGGAAGTTAGGCTTGAGTGACTCACAGCTGAGCCATAGTAAAGAGTCTGGAACTCAGAAGCAGCGTAGAGTTACAGATTTCCAATCTTTTTTGTTACTTGATTTGCTAGGATCTTTGGTCACTCTCATGAGGCACCTTCAATACTAGAATGGGTTGATACTTCATAAAGCAACTATACTTTTAAAAAGTAGAACTACTTTTTCTCTTGTGAGGAAAGTTGGGGCTGGAGGGATTGCTTAGTGGTTTAGAGCACTGGCTACTCTTGCAGAGGACCTGGCACCCACATGGCAGCTAAGAAACAAGGGCACCTGCATGCACATAGTACATTTAAATATACACAGGCAAAACACTCAAACGCATGAAAATAAAATACAACAAAAAAAGCATTCTTTGCTAAGGGACTTATCTCTAATTGAAGATGTATTTGGAGTGATATCTGTTCTTCAGTTTGGAGGCATATATAGTCTGTGTTCCTTACTTTGGGAGCATTTTATAAGTGAATTAATCAAATGACAAAAGGATGATAGATTATATGAAACCCTTGACGGAATGCGTTCCATAAAATGTAAAACTTTTTTGTAATCTGGATTCGATGGTAGAATATTCAAGAGATAAATGGTATATATGTACTATATATATATGTATGTTGTTGGTTTGTTTTTTTTTTTATTTTTTTTGTCTTTTTGAAACAGGTTCCCCGGCTGGCCTGGAACTCGCTATGTAAACCGGGCTGGTGTTCACAAAGATATGCCTGCCTTTGCCCCTCAAGTGCTGGGATTAGTGGCGTGTGCCACCATGCCTGGTTGTATATGTAATTTTTTAATGAGTTTTGAAATTTTCAATTTTAGATTTTTTTTAATGTATACTTTTCATTGAATTTTTGTGGATTTCATACAATAAATCTTAATCATATCTAGACCTCCTCTCCTATCTGCACTCCCTCACAGCCTGTCCACAGGATTGCATGTAGTCTATCAGATATATTAAGACCTCTCAAGTCTAGTTTGTGTACCCCAGATGTCCCTTAGTGTGAGTTAATCCCCTGGAGCCTACCTGTTCAGCCTGTCTGCTGTCATTCACTTCAAGAAAATCAACTCTCCCTCAGCAGTGATCAGCTGCTAGTAGTTCCTACATTAAGGTTGTGGCCTCCTGCCCATTTCCCCATTTCTGTGCTGGTTTTAATCTGATTGAGTTTTCATGGGTCTTGTGCATGCTGTCACCATTGCTTAAGTTCACGTGAATAAGGTCCCAGGTGTCCGTAAAATGCTTGATCTCAAGAGATCTACCTGCCTTTGCCTCCCTGAGTGATGAGATTAAGGGCTTGTGCTACCACTCCCGACCGACCCCAGGCTATTAAAATCTTTCTGCCTCCTCCTCTGAAATGGTCCCTGAGCCTTGGGTGGGTGAAGTTTAATATAGGAGCCCTGCCCAGGAACACACACTCTGCAAACACTTACTCTCTATACTTTGACCAGTTGTGGCCTTTTATGTTCATTGCGCTCTGTTGCATGAGGAAGCTTCTCTGATGAAAGTTGAGAGACGCCTTAGTATTCTCTCTACCTCTTGTCCCACAATGTTCCATGAGCCTTTGGTATAGAGGTTCCATTGTAGATGTGTCACTGAGAGTTGGGCATCTCATAGACACTTATTCCCTGTTTGTGACCAGTTGTGGAACTCTGTAATAGTCTCCATCTATTTACAAAAGAAACTTCTTTGATGAGTGGTGACTGGTATACTTATCTGTAAATATAAGGATCCATATTTAATATATAGTAAGAAATTATGTTTGTCTAAAATCTATGACCTCTCTAGCCATGTGTTTATATTTAGATTGCCACCCAGGAGTTCCCTCCCATTGAACGGGCTTTAAATCCAATTAGATAGCTGTTGATTACCCCCAAGATAAAAGTGCCACTACTGCATCAATGTAGTTTGCTGTGCCTGTCATTTTTCATGGTTACTAGGCTTTAAACCTGGGTTGGTCCATTGATTGATTTTTCTCCCTTAGCAGCAAGCATAGTATCCTTCAGAACTATGAGACCTAGTCTTTATGGGGAAGACTTCAGCTCCATGCTCCAGATCCTGTGTCTGAAGTATGTTCTGTCTTCAGCAGTAGAGTCTTACCTTCAGGTTCTGGGAGGTAATCAAGGGCTGTGCCAATAGCCTGTGTCATTTTGGGAGTCTCTTGGATTACCCTGACTAACAACTTGAAGGGAGATTTCTCCTGTCTGGCACTGTGTTTCTTGTTATATAGCCTTCAGCCATACACATGCACTCATGTACAGATATCGTCTGTGGATTTTTCAAATAGTCTTCTAAACTAATACATTTCCTTCTGGTTTTTTATACCACCTAAGCATTATTTGTCTTTCGTCTCTCTGTACTTGTCTAACCCTCCCTCCCCAGTTAAAGTACCTTCAATTTTCCCAAGAAATGGTATATATTTTTAGAAGCCCACACCTCTGCTTTCACTGGGTCTTTCCTTATGAACCCCTCTATTAATCCTCATCGTTAAATAAATCTATTAAACTGCCCTAATTGAGCACCCAATTCTGTTTCACACAAAAAAGAGAGTAATAATTATGGGTGCCTCATTACATTATTTATCTGAGGTAAAATATTAGTGAAATCTAATTTTGTTTTATGTGTAGGAATGTTTTGCTTCTGTGTATGTAAGTTGTGCAGGGCTTGTGGAGGCCAGAAGAGGGCATTGGAGCCCCTGGAACTGGAGTTAATGGACAGCTGGCTGCTATGTGGGTGCTAGGAACCAAACCTGGGACCTTTGCTAGAGTAGCCAGTGCTCTTAACCTCTGAGCCACCACACCAGCTCCAGTGATCTTTTTTTTTTTTTTTGGCCTTTTTGAGACATGGTCTCAGTGTAGACCCAGCTGGCCTGGAACTCACAGAGATCCTCCTGCCTTTACCTCCTGTGTGCTAGGATTAAAGGTGTTCTTCCCCATGCCCATCTCCCAGTGATCTTTTACTATACAACAAATTATCATTAAATTTAGTGGTTTAAAAAGCAACAGTAGGGGTTGGAGAGGCAGCTCAGCAGTTAAGAATACTGATTGTTCTTGCAGAAGACTCGGTTCGAATCCCAGCACCCATATAGCAGCTAAACAACTGTCTGTAACTCCAGTGTTCCAGGGGATCCGACAGCCTAATCTGACCCCTGCGGGCATTGCACAACATGCGTGCACTTAACCTACACACAGGCATACACGCATACACACACAAAAAAATTTTTTTAAAAAGCTGGTGTGACTCTGCTAAAGCACTATGCCTTATATCCAGTACCACACACTTGAAAACATCTTTGCCTCACAGTTTCAGTGGGTCAGTAATTTCAAACAGGAAGAGAGCTTGTCCTTGCTTCATGTCTAGGTCTTTAACTGCACAACTCACAAGCTAGGGTGTGGAATCCTGAAAACTTTACTCATATGTCTGACAGCTGGCTGTGAGCTGTGGGCTAAGGTAGGGCTGTGAACACATCTATTCATGTATGCTCATGTGGTTTCCTCGAGTAGTCTGGCCTCTTTTAAAGTGGTGGCTTCTCCAGGGTAAGTAGAGAGAAAGACAGGGATAGACAGCTATCTGATACTTGGTTCTTGCGTATCACTGCAGTTTCACAGTTCTACCTTCAGGATCTCAGAATTCATTACTAGACTGTATTTTGCTATTCCTTTTTTTTTTTTTTTTTTTTTTCTCTTCAGGTTTTGACAAAACCAAACTTGAGTCAATGAAAAAATACCTTAAAGCTGTGAAATTGTTTCAAAATTACGAGAATTCTTCAAAACCTGAATACTCTCAGGTATGTGCCAGTGAGTTACCTAGCAGTAATTAGAAGTACAGATTCTTATGCCTGACCACACATATTTGAATCCTGGCTTTAAGGACTTATAACTGTGGGCAGTTTATTTAGCATTTCTGCTTATTTCCTTGCATCTGATGATAATATAATATCTACCTCTTAGAATTCTTAGATTAAATACAAATTTATAGAACAGTTCTAGTCATGGTAGAAGTATTTTGTTAATGAATGATAGAAATGTTACTAGTAACCCGTTATTTTGATTTTTTACAATGACATTTGCATAGATTCCTGTGGTGGTAAATTCTGAAACATTTTGTGAAGTCTAGATTTTTGGTTTATTTTTAACTGTGGGGGGGGGCTCAGGGGGCCATGAACCACATGCCCACAGAGGCCAGAAGAGAAAATTGGATCCCCTGGAACTGGAGTTAGGAGCAGTTGTAAATTGCCTAATGTGTTGGGAACCATACTCTGGTCCTCTGCAAAGCAGTATGTACTCTTAACCTCTTAGCTATCTCTCCAGTCCCAAAATCCAACTTTTTGAGTATTTAAAATATCAGCTAATCTATTTTTTTCTACTTTATGTGAGTACTGTAATATTTCCTCAACTTTCTATGAAGTCTGCATCAAGGTTATAGCTATTTTGTACAATTCTATTATTACATGGTTAAATGTTAAGTTTAAAGACATTTTACAGACTTGGAGAGACAGTTAAAGTCTTGGGCTCCCAACCATTAATTTATTTTTATTTTATGTGTATGAGTGTATTGTGTGTGGTTGTTAGCCACCACGTAGGTGCTGAGAACTGAGCCCTGATCTGCAAGAGCAGCTGAGCCATTTCTCCATATAGTTCTTATCTGTTAGATATTTATATTGCAATAGGTAGAATTCTCATGCAGGAAAGTTATTTCAATAAAATTCATTTCTAAAAGAAAATATCAAGGATCTGTAACAGTTTGATGGTACCATCATTTTGTATGGCTCCTCAGCTTTTGTGGGGAGAGGTTTTTTGGAAGGAGGGTGTTGAGACAGGGTCTCACTGTATCCCCAGCTGTCTGGAACTCACTATGTAGACCAGGCTAGCTGGTCTCCATTTCACAGGGACAAGCACAGCCTGCTTCCTCCTGGGAGCCACCATACCCAGCCATGTTCAGCTAAATTTTAGAGAAAAATCCTTCTTACCCAGCTTTTCTTTTCTTTTTCGCATCTATTTAATCTATTAATTTGAATACTAAATGTGTCTGTCTTTCCCCTAACTTAGAACACGTACAAGTTTCATAAGGGCAGGAAGTTTTTTTGGTATTACATTCCTAGCTTGTAGAACTGTGTATCTTGTGTCTGTGTTTGTGGTAAGGTCTCACTCTGTATAATAGACTGACTTAGAATTCACTATATTGCTCGGCTGGTTACATACTTGGAGAGTATAGTCTTCTTACTTCAGCCTCCTAAGAACTTTTTTTTTTTTTTGGTTTTTTTGAGTCAGGGGCTCCCTGTAGCTGGGTTCACTATGGAGACCAGGCTGTCCTCAGTCTCAAGAGATCTGCTTGCCTCTGGCTCCTGAGTGCTGGGGTTCATGCTTGGCTAGAATATTCTTAAAGGCAGAACAAAAGATTTAGAAATTGCATTTGCAATATTTTGGAAAAATCTTTGGTTGAACGTATCATTTCGAGCTCTTATGCTTCTGTTTTACCTAGTGCTTTGTCTTCATTACAGGCAGTGCACCATCAAGTCTGTTTTTATGTGATTCTGAGGATGAAACTCAGGGCTTCCTATATGTTAGATATGACATCCCATCAGCTGAGCTATATACCCAGCCCCTGTGACAGTATTTGTTTGTAGAGAACAAAAATCATTTAAGGAATCACAAATTTTACGAGTTGTGATAAAATAAATGAATGTACTCATTCTGCCTTAAAAAGTAGTTTTTGCATTGGATCTGTACTAGAAATTCTAATTTCTCTCTTCCTCTACCCTGTTTTCTTAGGTTATACAGATTAATCTGAATTCAATAGTTCCATCTGTCAGTGGTCCCAAAAGACCTCAGGATAGAGTTGCTGTGACTGATATGAAAAATGATTTTCAGGCTTGCTTAAATGAAAAGGTAAAATACTTTATTGGTGGGGGGTATTTTGTTTTGAGAGAGGTCTACCTGTTGCCCCAGCTGGCCTATGTAAATCAGGCTGGGTTCGATCCCCTAGAGAGCCACATCCTACATGTTGGGATTAAAGGCATATGCCACCACGCCCAGCCTTACTATGCATTTTTTTTTTTAATGCTTTTTAAAATTTTTAGTAACTACATGATTAGAAGCTTTTCACTACAGCTTTAACATATCCACTAACATACTCCAGAGCAACAGTACATCTCTTTCACAAATGGGTGCAAGTAGAAGGAACAGGGTTATAAGCTTGACCCAAAAACTCAGTCTGCTAATTTTTCATACATTAAACATACCAGGCTCCTGGTTTTCTCCTTCTGTCTGATATGCAAACAAGCCCTTTGGTAAGCTTATTCTCAGCTCCAATGTGAGGATTAGAGTTTGACTATGTCTGTTTAAATTAAATAAAAATCAAGTTAAAATGGAGTTTCTTAGTCACAGTAGTCTCATTTCAAGTGCTAGTGTGTTATGTCATAGAACTTGGGGCTGGAGAGATGGGATGGCTCAGTGATTAAGAGCACTGGCTACTCTTGCAGAGGTCCCAGGTTCAATTCTAAGCACCCACTTAGCAGCTAACAACCATCAGAAACTCCAGTTCCAGGGGATCTGACACTCATTTCTGGCCTCCACTGGCATAGCATAACATTGGTGCCCTTACAAATAGGCAGGCAATACACTCATACATATAAAATAGAAATAGTAAGATATTTTTCAGAAAGGAAAAAAAACAAAACCAAAAACCCAAACAGTCTGAACTTGTTACTATTAAATGATCCATTGTTGGGTGTCTTCTCTGTTTTTACCATTCTTTCTGGTACAAGTCTATAATATTTATATGCAAATTTTATAGGTTGGATTTAAAGGCTTTCAAGTTGCAGTTGAAAAACAGAATGATACTGTCTCTATTCATTATGAAGGAAGTGAATACAAGCTGTCCCATGGCTCTGTGGTCATTGCGGCAGTTATCAGCTGCACCAACAATTGCAATCCATCTGTCATGCTTGCTGCAGGTAGGTTGGTGTTTATGACCTTGTGTTCTCTCATCATAAATTATTGTTTGCCTTGCGTGAGACTGTAGTGTTAAATTGCTCTTAGTTTATTATGACTATGTAATTTATGATTTTAGTTAGTGATAGCTGTTATTCATATCCTTTTTTTCTGTTTGCATGATGCTATGGTATCAGCCTATGTCCTAATAATTTACAGCATAATGACAAGTATCTACTGCTACTTAAATTTTTTCTTTAATGACCTGGATCAGTAGAATAAAAGGGACAATAATAATGATAGGAATCATTGATGAATTTAGGCTTTTTTTAAATTTTTTAAAAAACTTTTTGTTATTTTATGTGTATGTATGTATTGCCTGCATGTAGGTAAGTGCACCCGTGTCATGCAATGCCTGTGGAGGTCAGAAGAGGCTGTTGGATCCCCTGGAACTGGAGTTACAGACAGTTGTGAGCTGCCATGTGGGTGCTGGGATTCGAACCCGGGTCTTCTGCAAAAACAACCAGTGTTCTTAACCACTGAACCATCTCTCTAGCCCCCATGAATTTCAGCTTTTACTCTGATCTAAATCGAAGTGCATATTGTTAAGCACACCCTTTCTTGCTTTTTTACTCTAATGTTGAAGGAGGGAAAGATACATTGCCATAAGTCATTGTTGATTGTGCAGGTCTTTTGGCTAAGAAGGCAGTTGAAGCTGGTCTACGCGTTAAACCTTATATAAGAACAAGTTTATCTCCAGGCAGTGGGATGGTTACACATTACCTCAGTTCAAGTGGAGTGTTACCATATCTTAGTAAGCTTGGGTAAGTGACATTTACCATTGTTTTTTATTCCCATACTGGTATTTATATTTAGCAGGTCCTAAAGGTGCTTGTTTTGAATCTGTCATGAACAAAGAAAAGATTAAAAAGGAAAAATATGCTGTCGTTCTACTTGCTACCTTACCCGTACCACCATCTCAGGCATTATCCCTTGCAGACAGTTTTGGGGCATATCTGATAAGCAAGGCTATGTATTGGCCAACACATGGTCTGTAGCTCAGGATACTTGGAGAGTTTAAAAAATGAGTAAGGGGCTGGGCGTTGTGGCGCACACCTGTAGTCCCAGCACTTGGGAGACAGAGGCAGGTGGATCTCTGTGAGTTCAAGGCCAGCCTGGTCCACATAGTGAGTTCCAGGACAGCTGAGGCTGCGGGGAGACCCTGTCTCAAAAAAGACCAAAAAAAAAAGAGTAAGGGCTGGATGTGGTTGCACATACCTTTGATCCCAGCACTTGGGAGGCAGAGGTAAGCAAGACCTGTGTCAAGGCCAGCCTGATCTACATAGTGAGCTCCAGGCCAACTGGGGCTACAGGGAGACCCTGTCTCAAAAAGACCAAAATGAATGAATGAATGAATGAATGAATGAGACCCTGTCTCAAAAAGACTAAAATAAATAAATGAATGAATGAATGAGACCCTGTCTCAAAAAGACTAAAATAAATAAATGAATGAATGAATGAGACTCTGTCTCAAAAAGACTAAAATAAATGAATGAATGAATGAACGAATGAACAAACGAACGAGTAAGAACAAGTAACAGTGTGAGTGGTACCAGGTAATACCTAATTTCTGTGAGCTATATGCAGTTCAGAAAAGAATAAAAGTTTCATTGATTTAATTGAACAGATTGTCTTAATTGAAGTTTTTGTTAGGTTCTGGGTCTATAATACACAGGTTAAATTATCTGTGAACCTTGATAGAAACTAGCTTTTACCTAATGTAGGAAGAAAAATATTAATTCCAGTTAATATTTTAGTGTTTAATTTTGAAACATTTATGTAAATTATTAACTCTTTTGAAAGTCTGAAAACTTTTAAGTTTCTTTTGGGACAGCAGCTGAAAGTAATAGAGGATTACGTTTGTAATCTTTTTTTTCATTCCCCTGGTCTTTTTGAGACAGGGTCTCCCCGTAGCCTCAGCTGGCCTAGGACTCATTGTGTAGACAAGCTGACCTTGAACTCACAGAAATCTGCCTGCCTCTGCCTCCCAGTGCTGGGATTAAAAGTGTATGCTACCACGCCTGGCCTCTAGTTTGCTTTCTTTTGCTGTGATGAACACCATGACCAAAAGCAACTCAGGAAGAAAGGGTTTATTTTAGCTATAGGTCACAGTCCACCTTTAAGGGAAGCCAGGGCAGGAGCTCAAGGCAAGAGCTTAGAGCAGAAGCCACGGAGGAGGCTTAGTGACTTGCTCAGCTATCTTATACAGCCCAGACCCACCTACCCAGGGATGGCACTACTGCACCAGGCCCTCCTGCATCAAATTAGCAATCAAGAAAATGCCCCACAGACATACCCACGGGCCAATCTGATGTACACACTTCCTCACTTGAGATTCCATCTTCATAGTTTTGTCTACGTTTGTTGTCAAGCTGACAAAGTGTAACCAGCCCAGTGCTTTATAGTTTAAATAAACCTTTTGGGTAGAAATATACGATTTTTAAAAAATATTTATTTTTCTGTGTATGAGTGTATTGTTGCAGTGTGTAAGTGCAGCCATGTTGTACAGTGCTTGAGGAGGTCAAAAGAGCGTTGAATCCCCTGGAACTGGAGTTAAAAATGGTTCCTAGTCACCATGTGGATGCTGGGAATCAAACCCGGGTCCTCTGCAAGAGCAGCCAGTGCTCTCAACCATTGAGTCATCTCCCCAGCCCCTCTAATATGATTTTTAAAAAGATGTTATGTATTATATTCCTAGTTAGTTGTATTAGCATAGCTTTGTGGTATGGTGGGATAGGTAGTACTTTTTTTTTTTTTGTCTTTTTGAGACAGGGTCTCCATGTAGCCCCAGCTGGCTTGAAACTCACTATGTAGACCAGGCTGGCCTTGAACTCAGAGATCTGTCTGCTTCTCCCTCCCAAGTGCTGGGACCAAAGGTGTGTGCCACCACACTCAGAGGTACTTTCAGTCTAGTACTGATGCTATAAATACATGGACTCTTCCCAAGATTTGCATTCAGCATATAGAGCATGCTGATGGTTTGAATGTTCAAAATGCTGTCATATTAATGTATTGATGGTCAATTCATGTGAACATTTTTTTAATAATGCAGTGATACAAGTTTGAGATAATACTTGTCCTTTATAAATGTGATTTCATTTTTTTTAATGCAGTTTTGAAGTAGTTGGCTATGGATGTTCAACATGTGTGGGAAATACAGCACCCTTATCAGAAGCAGTTTTGAATGCAGTAAAACAGGTAAAATAGATTAGCCGAACATCTAAGTAGGTGCTTGCTTTTTGTTTTGGAGAAAGTTTGTTGTTGTTTGGGTTTTTTGAGGCAAGGTCTCCTTAACAGTCCCAGCTGGCCTGGAACTTGCCATATACACAAGGCTGTCACAGAACTCTCAGAGATCTGCCAGCCTCTGTATCCCGAGTGCTGGGGTTAAAGGTGTGCACCTCCACATCCAGCTTAATGGGGTTGTTCTGTTGTTTTTTGGGGTTTTTTAGTCATTTTTGAGATAGACTGTTACTCTGTAGCCTCAGATGGTCTGAAATTCACTATATCGACCAGGCTAGCCTCACAGAGATCTGCCAGCTTTTGCCTCCTGAGTGGTAGGATTAAAGGCATGCGCCACCAAGGCCTCATGTTTTGTTTTTTAATACAGGTAGTTTAGCTGGTGTCGTGGGTGCATGCCTTAAACCCCAGCACTTGGGGGAAAGAGGCTGGCAGATCTCTGTGAGTTCCGGGGCAGCTTGGTCTACGTGGCAAGTTCTAGGCTAGCCGGGGTTACAGAGTGAGACCCTGCCTCAAAAAAAAAAAAAAAAAAAAAGATACTTTAATATCAACTTAAGCACCAGAAGAGAGAGAGATACTCCGAAGAAAGTGAGATACTCTCCAGGTCATGGGCACAGGCATGGGCTTCTCTGAGACAGTGAGCTGCCTCAACTTGTTTTTCTTAATTGCATCTCATTAGTAAATTATAGAAAATATAAATTGAACTGAATATTGATTTTTTACAGTTCTCAGACTTCTTGAGAAGAATATTTATGAATCTTAAAATGATATAAATTACTTCTAGATTTTGATATAAATCAAGGAACTTTTAGTTTATAGGATTTGTAGTTCAAGACTTTCCTTTTGTCTGCCTTTCAGAATTGTATTATTTCAGACAACTTATTTGTAATTGTCCAAGTGTCTAAGCTCTTGAATCAAGTGTAATTGTTTGTGTTTTCCCCCTTCAGGGTGACTTGATTACCTGTGGAGTTTTATCTGGAAACAAAAACTTTGAAGGTCGTCTTTGTGATTGTGTTCGTGCAAATTATCTTGCCTCTCCACCCTTAGTGGTAGCTTATGCCATAGCAGGCACAGTGAATATAGATTTCCAAACAGAGCCTTTAGGTGTGTTTTCCTATATATATATTTGTGTGTGTGTGTGTGTATATATGTGTATGTGTGTATACTTACCACACTTTTCCTCCTAGAGGAAATCCAAATTCTAGATTTGAAAGAGAACATGCAATATTTGATATTTTTGTGTACCATCCATTCTTTTGTTACCATTTTCTCATCATGTGAAGAATTTAAAATGTACATGTGATTAATTCTTTTTGTTGCTTAAACATGAAGCAGATCCTGTTGTTTTAAATCAGTTATTAGATTTTCTGTTTGTATAATATGTACTGACTACCATATTAAAATATTGACCAGGCATCGACCCTACTGGCAAGGAAATTTACCTGCATGACATTTGGCCTAGTCGAGAAGAAGTTCATCAGATAGAAGAAGAAAATGTTATATTATCCATGTTTAAAGCACTGAAAGAGAAGGTAGAGGTAAGAGTCTTACTGCAGTTTTAGTGGTTTTTAGTTGCGTTTTTTATTTTGAAGCAAGGTCCGTGTTAAACTGACTTGGTATTCACATTTTACAGACCTGACTAACCTGGATCTCAGCATTCTTCCTCAGCCTTCTGAGTACTGAGATTATAGGTGTGAGTCACCATACTAGCCTGTCAGTTTCTTCATTTAACAAAGTTGTAATGTTCTTTTACATGTCTCACTTTCAAAGTAGAATAAAAATTTTAATTACATTATTTTGAATATATAGTTTTTATGACAGGTTTTTATTTTATTTATTATTTTTATTTTATGTGTATGAGTGTTATTCCTGCATGTAGGTAAGTGCACCCATGTGGTGCAGTGCCCACAGAGGACAGAAGAGGCTGTTGGATCCCCTGGAAATGGAGTTACAGACAGTTGTTAGCTGCCATGTGGGTGCTGGGATTGAACCCAGGTCCTCTGCAAGAGCAGTCAGTGCTCTTAACCGCTGAGCCATCTCTCCAGCACCCCCTTTTTTAAAAATATTTTATTTTTTTTATTTTATGTGTATGAGTGTTATTCCTGCATGTAGGTAAGTGCACCCATGTGGTGCAGTGCCCACAGAGGACAGAAGAGGCTGTTGGATCCCCTGGAAATGGAGTTACAGACAGTTGTTAGCTGCCATGTGGGTGCTGGGATTTGAACCCAGGTCTTCTGCAAGAACAGTCAGTGTTCTTAACCGCCAAGCCATTTCTCCAGCCCCTATGACAGGTTTTATAACTGGTTTTTTTTTTTCCCAGTGAGCATAAAAATGAGTCTTTGACATTTTCTTATGTTTATATCATTGTTCTTTTCTCCTGTTTGCTCCTTTATCTCTTTGTCTTGTCCCTGCCCTCACCTCCTGCTGGTTTTCTTCCTCCCCTTGCCCAAATAGTACCTTCTGTTTTCATACGTATGTGTGTATCTATATGTATCCATGTATGTATATGTAAGCACACATACACTTGTTATTTTTGTTTAAACTTTTGTGTGTATGGGTGATGTGTGTGTGTGTGTGTGTGTGTGTATGAGTGTGAGCTCATGCCTGGCACAGTGTATGAGGAGATCAGAGGATAGCTTTGGGCATTGGTCTTCACCTTCTACCTTATTTAAAAAATATCTTCTGTTTGTAACTGCCTACACCAGGCTAGCTGACCTACAAAGCTTCTGAGGATTCTCCCGTCTTCTCCCATCCCATCTGTAAGCGTAATGGGATTGCATCCATGCACTACTAGGTCCTGCTTTTTATGTGTTCTGGGGATCCAAACTCAGAATCCCCATGGCAGGTGGTTTACCTACTAAGCTATCTCCCAGCCTCTTGCCTCTGTCTTCTTTCAGTGCTTCTAACATGCATAATATAACGTATTCTACTGTCTGATTAACTTCTCAGCTAGACCAAATGTCATGCATTTGTCACATACGTTTTTACTTACTTTCTAAAATCTAGGTTCCACATAGGGGAGGAAATATGCAATATTTGTATTTCTGAGTCTTACTTATTTCATTTAACATGGTGGTCTCTAATTCCACCTGTTTCTTGCAAGTATCACGCACACACCTTTAAATCTAGGTTCCACATATGAGAGCATGTCATATCTTTCTTTTTACTCTCAGAATCTCATTTATCCCTCCCCCTTAGGTCCCTTCCTTCCTCCACATATTCTTCTTTTTGCTTTTATATTGTATTAAAATCTAGATTCTGTGTATGAGAGAAAGCATCTGATAGTTATGCTTCAGAGTCTGGATTGTTTTGCTTAATATGATGATCTCTAGTCCATCCATTTTCCTGCAAATAGCATAAATTCATTGTTTTTAATGCCCAAATAAACAGTAGTATATATATAAATCACATTTTCTTAATCTGTTGTTGGGCATCTATATCTTGGTTCTGTATCTTGGCTGTTGTGCTTCAATAAACATGGATGTGCAAGCATCTCTTAAATGCATACTTTTTAATGTTACTTTGTTTCTAGAATTGCTGATTACAGAGAGAATAACCTAGACTATTAGGATTGATTTTATTTCCTTATTAAAATAACGTTTGTCTGTGACTGAATAGGTACCTCAGCAGTTGGTGCATTGGCTGCTCTTGCAAAGTACTTGAGTTCATTTCCTAACACCCACATGGTAGCTAAGGGTTGTTCAGTTCCGGGGGTGAGCCAGTGCCCTCTTTTGGCCCCCAAAGACATGGCATGACACAGGTGTATTTAAATCTATGTCATAAGCAGTACATTCACACATAAAGCAAAAACCGTGTTTATCATGTTTATCATTCCCATTCAAATAGTTCAAAATAAATAAAAGCAAACAGTGCTCTCTCATTCTCACCAGTTCCCGAGCCTGTGCTTTGCTTCTCTAGAACAGTGAACAGTGTCTCCTTTTAAGCAATACTTTTCAGAGATGTTTTTATGCACAGATAAGTAAATCCAAGCACACAAACTTTTACATTTCAAGCAGCATATACATTTCAGCACTTAGAATGATTGATGTCTTAGTGTGTGGCAGGTACTCTTTTTAGGTGTTTGGAATTCTCATGAGGAGAAATAATGAATTGTAAGAAAAATAATTTAAACTGGATATAGTGGTGCATGCCTTTAATCCCAGTGCTCAGGAGGTAGAGGCTAGCTGATCGCTGAATTTAAGGCCAGTCTGGTCTACGTAGTGAGTTCCAGGCCAGCTGGGGCTACAGTCAGACCCTGTCTCAAAAAAAGAGAAGGTTGCTCTTAATTTCTACACTTTGGCCATTTGTAACTTTTTGTGTTCCTGGCTCTGTCTGCATAATGCTGGTCCTCAGGCAGGACTCCTATATTAAACTATTCACTTACCCAGGGCTCAGACCATTGCGGAAAAGGTTGCAGAAAGAGTTTGATAGCCAGGGAGGAGATAAATGACCAAAGGGAAAGAGTTCTACAACTCCTGGGACCCTGCTCATTTGAACCTACAGCAATGGTCTCATAAGACCCATGCAGATTCGAGCAGACAGAAACCCAATATAAAACCAGGGAAATGGACAGCAGACCCCAATCTTAGCTGAAGAAATATTGACAACTGATTATTGCTGGGTGAGGAAGAGCTGATCTTCCTAAAGTGAGAGACTCTAGATAGGCTGACTAGACCTCAGTAGATGAACTTGCACTGAAGGGATGCTAACTTGATACAATAGGCCTTAACAAAAATGACAGAATGTATTACAGAATTCCGGTGTGGGGGGTGCTATGGAAGTATGCCAGTGGGGAAGAGGATATAAAGATTGAGATGCTCTGTATACAATACACAAACATTCAATAAAATAATGCAAATTTTTAAAAAAGAAGCTGGGTGTGGTGGTGCATGCATTTAATCCCAACACCTCATGAAGCAGAGGCAGGCGGATCTCTGTGAGACAGAGGCCAGCCTGACCTACGAAACTAGTTTCAGGCAGCTGGGGCTACAGAAAGACTCTGTATCAAAAAGATAAAAAAGAAGAAAATAATTAGGTAAATTGCACATTATGTTAAAAGTGTAATACCGATAGAGAAAAAGAAAGGATAAGAATCAGTTGTGCAAATCTTAGGTAGCAGATTAGTAGAGGGAGTTTTGTGGGGCTTTTTTTTGTTTTTGTTGTTGTTGTTTTGAGACAGTGATTCTGTAGACCAGACTGGGATTAAACTCACTATCCTGCCCCAGCCTTCTGAGTGCTGGAATGCACCACCATGCCCTGCTCAAATTGCAGTTTTACATAGGCTGGTTGAAAAGATGATATTTGGATGAGCTTTGTGTGTGCATGTGTACCTATGTGTGTCTTCGTGTGTATATACATGGGCAGGCATGTGTCAGAGGACAACCTTAGGTGTCCTTCAGGTACTGTGTTTTTTATTTTTGTGTTTTTTTTTTAATTTCATGTGTATAAGTATTGTCCTTCATGTGTTTATGTGTTTCACATGGATGCCTGGTGACTGCAGAGGCCAGAAGAGAGTGTTAGATTTCCTGGAACTGGACTTACAGATAGTTGTGCGCTACCATGTGGGTGCTGGGAACCGTATTCAGGTTTTCTTTTTTTTTTTTAATATTTTATTTATTATTTTTATTTTACGTGTATGCATGTTTTGCCTGCATGTAGGTAAGTGCACCTGTGTTGTACAATGCCCGCAGAGGACAGAAGAGGCTGTCAGATCCCCTGGAATTGGAGTTGGACAGTTGTTAGCTGCCATATGGGTGCTGGGATTCGAACCCAGGTCTTCTGCAAGAACAGCCAATGTTCTTAACCAGTGAGCCATCTCTCCAGCCCCAATTCAGGTTTTCTTTAAAACCAGCAGTGCCCCTTACTAAGAAACCATCTTTCCAGTCTTTTCTTCAGGATTTTGCGTGTGTAACATGGTCTCCCCTGTAGCCCATCTAGCCTGGAATGCACTTTGTAGACCAGGATGGCCTCCATCGCACAGAGATCTGCCTGCTTCTGCCTCCCGAATGCTGGGACTAAAGGTGTGTGTGCCACTAAGCCTGACTTGAACCTTTTCTGTTTTTAGAAAGGCCTCTCACTAGCTTGGGACCTACCAGGTTGGCCAAGCCGCCTGACCAGTGAGTCCCAGGCATCTCTACTCCTCAGTACTGTATTACAAAGGTGCTGCCAGCCTTGGCCCTTTTTTTTTTTTTAAAAAAAAAGTACATTTATTCAGCTATAATTTTAGAATTAAAATAACTGGTTGTTTGTTTTAAAAAACAAAAACAAAAAAACATAGATTCTAGGGGTGAACTCAGCAGGCGAACTTTGCCCACTGAGTCCTCCCCTTCCAGTCCCTTGAGCAGAGTTGAAGGAAAGGGGTGAGCTACCCACATGTCAACAAAGAACAGGACTTTCTGGGTAAGGGTCTGTGTGATGACCTCAAGGAAGAAACTTTAATGAGTATAGTATGACTAGAGCACAGTGAATGAGAAAGGTAGAGCCAGATCACTGAGGGGACTTCAGTCTGACCCTGAGTTAGGTCATGGGGAGCCATGGGAAGATTTTGAACGGAGGAGTTACCGTCTACATAAAAGGATCACTCTGACTGTGTTGAAGCTATTTTGAAAGGAGAGAGTTGGGTAAGGAAAGTAGAATCAGGAAGTCCAAATAAAGTAGTCCAAAGTGTACAAAGGTGTCAGTGAAATGGTGGATTGTGGTAGCAGAGGGAATGCTGAGAAATAGTGAAATTTTTGATACAAAGGCAGGATTTACAGGTAGTGGTGTGGGACAAATACATTGGGGGAAAAAGCAGAGGTTTTCCCTTGTGATAATATTCCTAAAGATTGATGGCATACCTTAAATCTTTTCTGATACACACACAAACATACATACATACACACATACAATGTTTTTCCAAGTTCTTTAGTTTGGAGGGGGAAGGGCACTATAAAATCTTTATGTTCAGTTTACACTGAAACAACACTCAGAAGAGTTCCTGAAAATTTCGTGAGCTGAAAAGTTTTTTTGTTTGTTTGTTTTTTGCTTTTTTTGTTTTTGTCCTTTTGAAACAGGGTTTCCCTGTAGCCCCAGCTGGCCTGGAACTCACTATGTAGACCATGCTGGCCTCGAACTCACAGAGATCCACCTGCCTCTGCCTCGAAGTGCTGGGACTGCAGGCATGTGCCACCACGCCCAGCTGAGCTGAAAGTTTTTAATCAGAACTCTTCATTCTGTCAAAAAATACCATGGTTTTCCTAAAGAATGAGACTTTTTTACTTTTCAGTCTGATGAAAGTATTATTTTCTGATTCTTTTCTTTATTTTGATCCATCCTATCAAAAACCACATTCACAGATGGGAAATAAACGATGGAATTCCTTAGAAGCACCAGACTCAGTATTGTTTCCATGGGACTTAAAGTCTACGTATATCAGATGTCCTTCATTTTTTGACAAACTTGTAAGTACTAGTTTACTGTTTTACCTTTTAAGATTGTTATACATTAAAAGACCTTGGTAAGAATTGAGTGCTTTGAATTTTTACCTTTTAGACCAAAGAGCCAACTGCACTCCAGCCTATCGAGAATGCCCACGTTTTACTATATTTGGGAGACTCTGTCACAACAGATCATATATCACCTGCTGGAAGTATTGCTAGGAGTAGTGCTGCTGCTAAGTATTTGACAAACAGAGGGTATGTATGTGTACATGGATTGAGGGTGGTTTTGTTTTCGTTCTTTCTCAGTTCTCAAGATACTTTTCTATTGTCATGTTCCTGTATCCAGTTAGTACTTGCTATTTTAGACATTTCATTTTTATTTTAATTTTATTTTTTTGTCTTTTTGAGACAGGATCTCCCTCTAGCCCCTGGAACTCACTATGTAGACCAGGCTGGCCTCGAACTCACAAAGATCCACTTGCCTCTGCCTCCAAAGTACTGGGATCAAAGGCGTGCAGCACCATGCCCGATAGACATCTCATTTTTAGTGCATTTGTCTCAAGCAGTCACTGATGGGCACCTGTTGACTCTCATTTCTTAATAACTTTAGAAATTGACATTACTAATGAAATTGAGTCTTTATTAAAACAGCTTTAAGTAAGTAAATAAGGCCTTCATACGAACTTCAAAGAAACAACTAATTGGAAATAAGATTTTTCTTTGTTGGTGTTGCTTTGCTGAAAAGTAAGCTTTGTTTGACCCACCAGTTGGATCCTGATCATTTGGTTCTTGCCATCTTCCCATCTATTAAAGTATAATAAATATGGGTTTTATGGCACTGTAAAATGTTCACCAATGAGGTTATGACTGATGTGTGATCAGTATGAGAGATGACTTCTGGATTTTAAGCCTAAAATTTTTTTTTTAATATTTTATTATTTTATGTGTATGAGTGTATTGCCTGCTTGTATGTGAGTGCACCCATGTCGTGCAATGCCATGGAGGTCAGAAGAGGGCTTCGGATTCCCCTGGAACTGGATGGTCTGTAGCCACCATGTGGGTGCTGGGAATTGAACCCGGGTTTTCTGCAAGAGCAGTCAGTGCTCTTAACCTCTGAGCCATCTCTCCAGCCCACAGAATCTAGATTTTTACCATCCACTGCCCCACAGTCTGCTGAAGTTGTGGTCTTAGGGCCCAGGCTACCCCAGCACACAGCAGTGAGGGTATTTTAATTAATTTATTTATTTTTATTTTATGTGTATGAGTGTATTTCCTGCATGGCTGTGAGTGCACGCATGTCCTGCAGTGCTGCTGCAGAGATCAGAAGAAGGCATCAGATTCCCACGGAACTGGAGTTAAGGATGGGTCGTAGCTTCCATGTGGGTGCTGGGAATTGATCCTGGGTCCTCTGCAAGAGCAGTCAGCGCTCTTAACCTCTGAGTCATCAGCGCTGAAATTTACTCATTTTTAAGTGTTTGTTTATTACTTTTATTTTATGTGTATGAGTGTATTGTCTGCTTGTGTATAAGTGCACCCATGTCATACAGTGCCAGAGAAGGTTAGAAGAATTTGTTGGGTCCCCTGGAACTGGAGTTACGGGTGCTTGTTAGCCTCCATGCGGGGGGCTGGAAATCATACCTGGATCCTCTGTAAAAGCAGTCTTAACCACTTGAGCCATCCATCTCTCCAGCCCCAAGGGGATAGAAGTTTAAAACTAGAAAGATATGACTTCATTTCTGGATGATTAATACTATAGAGATGATTCTCTTACTGAAGAACTGTTTGGTGTCCAGAAGTTAACTTACAGTTCTGATTAGCTTTTGGATGTTTATCTGATGCTTGAACAGTCCAATGATGAGATTTTTTTTCATTGAAATGTTTTATAAAATTTCAGAGCTATACAGCTTGATTTGACATAAAAACATTTTATTGCATTTATTTTGCATGCACTGGTACAAGGAGTGGGAGCTTCTGAGGATAGAACTCAGGTCATCAAAGTTGGTGGCAAGTGCCTTTCCCCATCAAGCTATCTTTCTTGGTGTTTTTTGGTTATGATTTCTATCTTGGTCATAAGTGTAATGATGTATCTTCCTCAAAGAAAACCAGTCACCACTTCTTTTAAGTACACAGCTTTTATATTGTTATGATTTCTTGAGCACATTTAATCTAATAGTTCTTACCATTTAAAATTATCTAAAAATATGAACACCTGGCTGCGTGGTGGCGGACGCCTTTAATCCCGGCACTTCAGAGGCAGAGGCAGGCAGATCTTTGTGAGTTCAAGGCCAGCCTGGTCTACATAGTGAGTTCCAGGACAGCTGATGCTACAAGGAGACCCTGTCCCCCCCAAAAAAAACCACCTGTCCTTACACTATTCTCTCCTGAAGTAAGTTTTAAAGTGTACAAATTTAGAGTATTAATGTTTCTCTATAAAATATCAAATTAGAGCTTGATAAAAATTGGTTGTTGGTTTTTAAGATATTTTTGTTCAGTAGTTTCTTGCCACTTAAAAAAAAGGCTGGAGACCAAAAAAAGTAAAAAAAAAAAAAAAGCCAGACATGGTTGTACATGCCTTTAATCCCAGCACTTTGGAGGCAGAGCCTGGTGGATCACTGAGTTCAAGGACATTGTGGTCTACCTATCAAGCTCCAGGCTAGTTGGGGCTACCCTGTCTCAGAAGACTGAAGGGAAAAAAAAAAAAAGTTGGGTGTATAGCTACTCAGGAGACTGAGGCAGGAATATTGCAAGTTTGAGGCTAGTAGATTATATATACCTAAAACCTAGTTAATCTAATGAGGGTAATTAAATTAAAAATATAATATAGCTGCCAGGCGTGGTGGCACACACCTTTAATCCCAGCACTTGGGGGCAGAGGCAGGCAGATCTCTGTGAGTTCAGGGCCAGCCTGGTCTACATAGTGAGTTCCAGGACAGCTGGGGCTACAGGGAGACTTTGTCTCCAAAAGACCAAAAAAAAAAAACACCACAAAAAAAAAAAACCATAATACAGCTAAGTAGGGTGGCACGCACCACTAATCCCAGCACTCAGGAGGCAGAAACCTGCTATAGATCAGACATTTCACTGTTGTAAGTTTTTTTTTTTTTACCAGCTTAAGACCTTCCATACTTTGGGACGAGAGGGGAACTTTCAACAACTTTTAAAATTCAGTAACATGGGGCTGGAGAGATGGCTCAGCAGTTAAGAGCACTGACTGCTCTTGCAGATGACCTGGGTTCGATTCCCAGCATCCACATAATGGCTACGAGCCCTCCTTAATTCCAGTTCCAGGGGAATCCAAAGCCCTCTTCTGACCTCTGCGGCATTGCAGGACATGGGCGTACTCACATACGTGCAAGCAATACACTCATACACATAAAATAAAAATAATAAATAAAATATATTTTTTTAAAAATTCAGTAACACCGGGCGTGGTGGTGCACGCCTTTAATCCCAGCACTGGGGAGGCAGAGGCAGGTGGTTCTCTGAGTTCAAGGCCACCCTGGTCTACATAGTGAGTTCTAGGACAGCTGTGGCTACAGGGAGACCCTGTCTCAAAAAGACCAAAAAAAAAAAAAATTCAATAACGTGATTATTTTCCATCTGGAATGAAAACTCTTTCACTTTCTCGTAGCCTTACCCCTCGTGAGTTCAACTCTTATGGAGCCCGAAGAGGTAATGATGCTGTGATGACAAGAGGCACATTTGCAAACATCAAGCTTTTTAATAAGTTTATTGGGAAGCCTGCTCCCAAAACAATTCATTTTCCATCAGGACAGACGGTAAGAGTGTACCCAAAGTACTTAGGCTATTACTCGATAAACATTTGTATTAAAGATTTTTGTGTCTATTTAAATCTACAGCTAGATGTATTTGAAGCTGCAGAATTGTACCAGAAAGAAGGTATCCCACTGATGATTTTAGCAGGAAAGAAATATGGTTCAGGAAATTCAAGAGACTGGGCTGCCAAAGGACCCTTTTTGCTGGTATTGGTGCTTAAAATTTATATTCTTAAGCTTAAACAATTTTTAAAATTCTCTTTTGTCAGTAACATTTTCGAAGTATATTTTGCTTATTTGGATTTTTATGATGATTTAAATCTCATTTATGGGTTTCTTTTCAGTGATACTAGATACTGTTTTATATTTTTAGTTTCATTTCGCCACTCTGAATTTGATTAAATCTCAGTCCTTTTTTACATATGGAGTCTATATGGGATTGATAAAGGAAAAGGAGGATTCTGTCTTAGACTGTTATGTGATACCTGTCATTTTCATTTAATTCTTTTTGTTGTTGTTTATTTTGTGTGTATGTGTATTGCCTGCATGCATGTAAGTGTACCCATGTTGTACAATGCCCGTGGAGGTCAGAAGAGGATGTTGGATCCCTTGGAACTGGAGTTACAGACAGTTGTTAGCCACCATGTAGATGCTAACCTAGGTCCTCTGCAAGAGCTGCTAGTGCTCAACCTCTGAGCCATCTCTCTAGTCCTTCGTTTAATTTTTTTTTTTTTTTTTTTTTTTTTTTTTTTTCACTAGGTTGTAGCCCCATGGCCTGGAACTCACTATGTAGACCAGGCTGGCCTTGAACTCATACAGATCCGCCTGCCTCTGCCTCCCAAGTGCTGGGATTAAAGGCATGCACCACCATGCCCAGCTTAATTTTTTACTGAATTAAAAGACTCAGGTAGTGGACTAAATTTGATACACATACCCCATAAGAGATAAATACACCTGGCTATCTGCCAGAAGGTATTTCTCTTTAGAGTATTGGGCAGTCTAGAGACAGTCCATAACGTGTGCTTCCATTTTGTATTCACAGTGCTTCTCACAGTTGGATCTGTGAGCATGCTCTTCAAAGCACAGCTCTCCTACCCCGTTGCACAAACTTGATTTTTTGGGAATCTTCAGTTTCTCTTTTTTTGTCTTTTTGAAGCACGGTCTCCCTGTAGCCCAGCTGTCCTGGAACTCACTATGTAGACCAGGCTGGCCTTGAACTCACAGAGATCTGCTTGCCTCTGCCTCCCAAGTGCTGGGACTACAGGCATGCGCCACCACGCCCGCCTTCAGTCTCTTTTTTAAAAATGTCAATACTTTGAGGAATTACAGAAGTAAACCAGATTGACCAGATTGTTTTAATGTCCTGAAATCAAAAGTCATCCTTAGTTAGGTATTTGAAAACTGATTACAGGTCTGGGTGTGGACTAGGTTTTGTTCTTCTGTGGCCTTACTGTAGATGATTAGGTGATCAATCAGCTATCTCTCTCATTCAAAAACCTGCCTGTTGTTGTCTGTTCATATTTTCTCTGAGGCCATTCAGTTTCTTCAAGGACAGTGACTTATTTAGGATGCACAGGTTAACTTTCTCACAGATTTACAGTCTGACATTCTCAGGTCAGCCACCCCCATGCCCAGTGTTCTTGATCAGGGGAGATGGCCTCCCAGGGGGTGAAAATTGACTTTAAAAAAAAAAAGGACACTTGGGGCTACAGGGAGACCCTGTCTCAAAAAGACCCAAAAAGAACATACATAAATACACAGTACATTTGTGCAATTAGAATTTTGGAGGGAGAAAGCAGGTGAGGAAGACATGATTTAAGGGTAAAATGTCTTTAAAAGCTTCTTAGAGAGACAACATCATTTTTCAAAGTGAAGAAACCAGGTATAACACCTCTAGCTCATTTTCTGAAGAGAAGCTTTTACTGGAGAGTAGGGCTGGAGCTAGAGGCCAGCTGCTGCCTATTAATAAATATTCCCAGTGTTCTAGGACCTCATACCTCTGGCTCTCAAAGCATTTTCTGAATTTTCTATTGCAGATTGACTCAGACCTTACTGATGATACCATGTTTCAGTTTACCATTCTGTAGTTTCAGTGTGTCTCTAAATCAATTACTTATTCCTTTTTTCTAGACATCATACAGAATTATCTTCTCCTAGTCTCTTCGTTGCTGTGGGTTCATTTCTTTGTTTCTTTTGGGGAGGGGGCTCTTTTTGAGACCGGGTCTCCCTGTAGCCTCAGCTGGCCTTGAATATCTACCTGCCTCTGCCTCTCAAGTTCCCAAGTGCTGGGATTAAAGGTGTGTGCCACCATACCAGCCACTTCTTTGTTTCTTCAAGTAATTTGAAGAACATGTATGTTAGACCCACCCTATTTAAGCAGAAGTCCTCCTGAGCTCTGTTTACATCAAAGTGACTACCCCCATTTATAAAGCACTTAATGTGTGGTAGGTACTGGTAATGTTAATTCTGGAGCTAAAACATTCTAGGAACTTATTTAAAACAGAAGAGCAATCTGTAAAAGGCTTTTCTAAATACCTTGATACAACATTGACTCAATAATAGGATATTCCATCAAGTGTTTACAGGAAGTCCAGAGCAGATATTTTTTTCCCTTTAAAATTCTCACTATAAGGTAAGCATGGACCTTGGAGGCAGAAAGCAGGAAGATTATTTTAAGTTTAGGCCACTTGGGCTACATATCAAGATCTTGTCTTTAAAAAAAATAATAAGCGGGGGCTGGAGAGATGGCTCAGTGGTTAAGAATACTGGTTGTTCTTGCAGAAGACCCGGGTTCGAATCCCAGTATCCACATGGCAGCTAACAACTGTCCGTGACTCCAGTTCCAGGGAATCCGACAGCCTCTTCTGACCTCCCCGGGCATTGCACGACATGGGTGCACTTAACCTACATGCAGACAATACACGCATACACATATATAAATATAAATAAATAAATAGGGGCTGGAGAGATGGCTCAGCGGTTAAGAGCACTGACTGCTCTTGGAGAGGACCTGGGTTCAATTCCCAGCACCAATATGGCGGCTACGAACCGTCCTCAACTCCAGTTCCAGGGAAATCCGAAGCCCCCTTCTGACCTCTGTGGCATTGCACGACACGGGTGCACTCAGATACACGCAGGCAATACACTCATACACATAAAATAATAATAAATAAAATATTTTAAAATAAAGTAACAAAAAAATCCTCAATATTTCAACTTTCAGGAGTGATAAAAGGAAATAAAATACATGTTTGTTACAGGGTGTGAAAGCTGTTTTGGCTGAAAGTTATGAAAAAATACATAAAGATCATTTGATTGGAATTGGCATAGCTCCACTTCAGTTCCTTCCAGGAGAAAATGCGGATTCCTTGGGTCTCTCTGGCAGGGAAGTATTTTCTTTAATATTTCCCGAAGAACTCTCTCCAGGAATTACATTAAATATTAAGGTATTTTTTAAATTCTCAAATACATAATTGTGTACTCAAATGGATGTTTGTAAATTGAAAATTAAATTATATACTAATGCAAGTGCATGTAAGTTGAGATAGGGTCTCCCTGTAGCTTCATCTGTCCTGAACTCACTGTGTAGACCAGGCTGGCCTTGAACTCACAGAGATCCTCCTGCCTCTGTGTCCCGAGTACTGGGATTAAAGGTGTGTGCCACCATGCCCAGCATTAATTTGTTTTAGTACAGCTCATTGGGGAAAAGTAGAAAGAACTGGTTGCTTAGTCCAGAAAAGAGTCCTGTGTGGCAGGGACTTTTTGACTTCTAGTTACATATGCCAGTTTTTCAGTTTTCTCTTTTGATTAAATATTAACCCAGGCAGTACACTGCAAGGTGAAGCAAAAGTTGAGCATTCAATGTTATAAAGTGTAACCTTATAACTAAGTGGAGGAGGGGGGAAGCCACAGATACTGTGTGTAATAAATACTTGCTGAAATAAGTGAATAGTGAGAGTCAGAATCTAAATCATTTGCTTTAATCTTTTGGGTAGTTTGATACTTGTTTAGAAATAGAGATTTCTGTCTTTCTACTTAGCTTAGCCCATGTTTTCAAGTAGCAGAAGAGTTTTATGTAATCAAAACTTAGGAAAATATCAGGGCATGATGGCATATGCCTTTAATCCCAGGACCTTGGAGGTAGCGGCAGTAAGTGGATCTCTGTGGATTTGAGGCCAGCCTGGTCTACATAGAGTTTCAGGCCAGATAGGGCTATTTAGTAAGACTCTGTCTTTAAAAAAAAAAAAAAAAAAATGCATATATGTAGTATGTAGTATATGTGTATGTATGTGTGTATGTAGTTCCTTTATGAAAATCAGGCAGAATATGACAAGTAGTTATTGACTATGCATACAAATGAGCTTAACTGCTGAGTAACTTTGAAGATTGGCTTGCCTCTTACACGAGATGTTTTTGTTTGCTTTTCTTAAAGACGAGTACTGGAAAGGCATTCAGCGTGATTGCTTCATTTGAAAATGATGTGGAGATAACATTGTATAAACATGGAGGATTGTTAAACTTTGTGGCACGAAAATTCTCATAGTATCTGCTCACCAAGATATCTTTCATAATTGGTAACTGCAAAGCCTTTTGTGCTGGACCCAGGAATTTTTGCAATGGAGCTACAGATAATTACAGTATACTCACTTATGCCATCATGGATGTAAATGATTATGAATCAAGGTAGTGACTGAAATGAAATCTTAACTGATTTTAAATAATATACGAATGGTGCTATTAACATTGCTAAAATCAACGTGTGAAGTGTGTTGTGGACGAGACCTGTAAGTATGGGGGGGTATATTTTATCTGACCATTTTGTAAATAAAGACAAAATTTGAACTTGTGTTGAAGATTATGAGTAATCTTCCTGAAGTTGTTAGTTTTGCACCCATAAAACTGTACTACTGTTTGTTGGTTTAAGAGTAACAGGTTAAGGGACTGGAGAGATGGCTCAGCAGTTAAGAGCACTGACTGCTCTTGCAGAGGACCCGGGTTTGATTGCCAGCACCCACATGGCGGCTACGAACCATCCTTAACTCCAGTTCCAGGGGAATCCAAAGCCCTCTTCTGACCTCCAGGGCATTGCACGACACGGGTGCACTCACGCACATGCAGGCAATACGCTCATACACATAAAATAAAAATAATAAAATATTTTAAAAGAATAACAGGTTGAAAAATAGAAGAATCCAGATTAGGCCATAAAATTTTGGAAATGGCAATCTGATTTATAAGTGAACTTTTAAGTACATTCCTTTCCAAAACCGAATTGGGCACAGATGGCATTCCCAGTTTGTAATGTAAGCCGGATTTATCCTTAGTCGCAGTATGTCTGCAAGGGATAGATAGAACATGCCTCAGATCACAGTCACTGACCAGTCCAGTCAAAGTTCCCTCCCCATCTGAAGTTAAGACAGTTGCAGAATATAGCCAATTGTGTGATACCATGTATTAGTGAAAATTTGTATTTCCTATGGTGCAGCCTGTAATTTTTCAGTAATGTGCCTCTGTGACCTCTGGTCAACCTCAGATGGTGGATAATTAATTTGGATTATATTTTGCTCATCTTAAATAATACTATAACTTCCTGTATCCCAGTTTAGACACATCAACTGACATTCTACGCTCCTTGTATGAATGTTAAAGACAACTTGAATCATTAAGCTGTAACCTGATTTCCTCTAGACTTGTAAATTACCCACCCCAAATGATATGGGTGCTCACTCCTGAGCACTTTTTAAAATGTTATTCTTTAAATTGATTTCTTGCCATTTTCAGTCATTATTTTACCTGGTATACATCGTTGTATTCATTTCATTATGGCTTAATTGGTTTTAGTCAAAACTGACTATAAGGATAAGACACTTGGAAGTTGCTGCTATGTGTCTTGTTCTCAGTGCGTTTGCATCTACTTTATTACCTCAACTGTTCTGTCCCTGTTTGCCACATTGTTTGAAAAAGGGTTGGATAATTTTAGAAGGACCCTGCATATACTCTTCTTAATTAAGAAATTAAGCTTAGCAACAAAAGGTTAATTAAATGACCTTTATCTGACCTAGCCTCTGTGCAGTTATGAGGTAGCTCAATTGACAAAATAAAAAATACTTGTTTTACCCTAACATTCAGGAACTACCAACCAGTGGGTGAAGAGCACAGAGAGCCTTGCACATAATCAGTCATACAGTCTTTTGAAAATACTTTTCAAATATGTATTTAGATAAGTTGGACTAGAATTTGACAGAGTCTCTTTAAATTTTTATAAGTATTTTTTTGCTATTTTGAAGTCATACTGTGTTCCAGTATATGCTGTATATTTATTGGTGCATGTATTTTTAATTTACATGGAAACATTGAGTTAGGGATGGAAAAGTTACAAGTTGAGTGAGTACATACCTGTTACATGCTTTGAAGAAATTATTCCAATCGCATGATGGAAAAAAATATTATTTTGAAGGCATAGTCTGAGTATAGGGATGGGCATGAACATTTGAGGTGATAAACATAACTAGTTGTGAATAGACACTAACACTCCAGTCACACCAGTAATAGTACAAATTTTGTATTTTAGGAACAAAATTAAGGTTCTCTTAATCCTTTGCTTAGAAACAATGAACTAAACTCTTGGCAAGCATGGTTTTAAATAGGGGAGGGAAACTGGGATGCCTGTCCCAGTTCTATATCTCCTAATTCTGCCTCTAGCCAAATGTTGCTGAAGTGTGGTATCTATTAGTTTTTATTGCTTTACTTGCCTCCTTTTTTGACTTTTTAAATAATTTCAAATTATTTTTATTTTTGAAAAATTACCAATACTGGTAAAAGGAGGTATAATAGGCACACAAAAAGCAAATAAGTATTGTGAATTTAAAGTATAGTTATCAACAACAGCATTTAAAAAACATGCAATAGCATAACAGGTTATACCTTTACTTTGCTTATCATAAATGGAGTGAAAAGGCTACCCAGCTATTGAATTGCCATTATTATTTATACCTTAAAGGTTTCCAGGATGACAGTTACTCTGTTTTATCTCTGTGCTACACTTGAGAGGCAGCAGAATCTCCTTTCCAGATTGCTTGGACTTTCACTGGTAATTGTACTAAAAGCTATAAAGCGAAGAGCTAAGTCAGAGGTACTTGTATTTGTGGTCAGAATATGTGCATTACTGTTCTCAGGAGTGACAGGATGAGGAGAAATTGACATTTTCTAATGGTTGAAAAAAAGCACCTTTTTGCCTTTAGGTTTAGGGAGAAGATAGTAAGATACTGGGCAGTGATCCAATATTTGATTTGGAATATAAAAGAAGAGAAATGTGGCTTTTCCAGGGTTTGTTTTTCCCCCCACTTTAAGGGTGACTATGCTGATACGAGTTTTTTGTTCTGTTTTTGTTTGTTCAATTTTACATGTAATATGTGGCTATAAAGCCAGTATATATTAAATAACTGCAAATCATTGTCTATTATTTAAAGCCAACAAAACAGCATAACAGTTTTAAGTTCAATAAATATTAAGTATTGTATAGGAATATATTGGAGGTAAAGTTCAGTTAATGACAATTGTGTATATGTTCCTGATGCTGTAAATTATTTTTAATAAAGAAAATTGTATTATCACATTTGACTCTTGTTTATTTATAGTAATTGAAAATGAAAGAACATGACTTAAAAAGAAATAGGATACTATCCAGACATTTCTCTTCAAATTTGTTCTGTGTTTGGACTTTATTTTGAATATGATAGCCAGTGTGTAAATCAGTTTATTTTCATCCCTATATCTAGCAGATCCTTTCTGCTCTGGCAAATGAGAATGAAAATCAAGGTGAAGACTGGAAAGAAGGTTAGAATACCCTTTTGAAACAATAAGTACATTCAATTCAGGGGGTGTGCCAACAGCTACTTATGGAAACTTAAGTTGAAAGTTGTAAATACTAATCTCACATGAAGCAGGATCCTTTGTTTAAACACTTTTTTGAATTAATTTATTATTTTTTTTAGAAGAAACATTTCATTACAGCTTTAACGTACTCATTAACAGTTTCCAGAGCAAAGATACATCCCTTTCAAAAGTGGCTATAAAATTTTTAGGTTTGCTATTGAATTAATACAGTTATACAATGTTGAACTCAATATAAGCCCTGTAAGACATAAAATTGTTTTTAACCTTTAAAAAAGATCTCCGTTTCATTTTAAACATAGTTTCTTACAGAAAGACTCATTGTTTTTGCTCATAACACTGAGATGTTGGCACATGCATCTCTAATCTGTATGTATCTGATTATTACTAGTCATACTCGGTTGCACTCAGATCCTTGGCACCTGTGTATGTCTATAAAGTCAACAGGTAGGTTTCAGTGGTAATGTTTATCACCTCTACTAATTAACATGATGTAAATTTTTATGTTTCCCCTCAAATATAATTCATTTTTAAAAATTTGTTGATTTTTTTTTTGTGTGTGTGTATGTATATCACACAGAACATCTTATTCAACTATACACCCACTTTCCATATGACACCCTCCCATAGCCTCCCTCCCCCCACTAGAGCCCTTATACTCTGATATCCCTGCTACTGTCTGCTGTGTTGTCAGCAGCCCCAGCCATTCCCCACTACTTGTCCATCTGGTGAATCTAGTCAGCCTATCTAGAGGTCTTTGTTTTAGGAAGGTCAGCTGTTCCTCATCTAGCAGCAATCAGTTGTCATTATTGCTTTAGATAAGATTGGGACTGCTGTTCATTTTCCCAGGTCTATGCTAGGTTACTATCTGGGAGTCCCTTGGGGGCCAACAACTCAAAAGAAGATATCTCCTATCTGGCATTGTTGCTTGTTATGTAGACTTTAGCTATACATAGGAACTCTTAAAAAATTATATTGGCCCCTTTAATCTTTTGTTATGCTTTACTTTTGGGTATTTAAGGTCATACAGTTGGCCCAGATAAACCGATTTATCTTTACGCTTAAGGCTGTTTGAGGATCTGTTCCTCAGGGGTCACATGGGCTTGGGAGGAGCCCCTGGCTCCTTTTACCAGTTCTGCCTATGTGAAGATAAGTCAAAGGTCCTGCTCGACCATGGCTGGCTTTCCTTGGAAGCATGGAGGAAATGATTCCTGTGTTGACCCTCCACTTTGTAGACTGGACACCGGTTCACGTCCATCTCGTGGGGTCTCCTCGGCCTCCTTGATCAAGAGGACAGGTGACCCACCACAGTGACAGGACATTTTGAGAGATGCTTATAGTTCCCTGGAACTAACTGACCTAGGAGGGCAAAGAGCAAAAACTCATTAATGTCCCTCTGATCAAATTAGTATAGGCCTCAAAGTATGTCTGTTAAACATCCAAGAAGGTTAGTTCCACCAGTCTGGTACTTTTAATTACTGTGTGACATGTAGATAAATTTTGGGCAAAGAATAATTGTTCTCAGATAAAACTTACCTAGACATATATTTCTTGATCTGGTATGTGTAATTTGTCAGTAGGTTGTTTGCGTAATATGGTTCCCTCTGGTTTTTGAAACTAGGCATTATTTATCGTATTTTCTAACCCCTCCCATCATGGTTTCCCCAATTAAGTTGCCCCCATTTTCCCCCTTTCTCTCTTACTAATACCCTTCTATGGTCCTACCTCTCTTGTGCTCCTTTCCCTTTATCCCCTAAGTTCTTTGTATACTCTTCCCTCCCCCGGCCCTTAAACTAACCCAATTTTTAATCAATATCTCCCTTATTAACGCCTGTTTCCTACTGTTCTCTTTCAGGTTCTGTCTTTCCTTTACCGCCCTGGTTCCTTTCCATTATCCTGGTTCCTGCAGTTATGTCTGGATACATACTAAACAGGATTTGGTTCTAGGATCCACATATGAGGGAGAACATATGCCGATTTTTTTTCTGAGTCTCTGTTACTTCACTTAGTTTAACAGTTTCTAATTCCATCCATTTACCTGCAAATTTCATGATTTCATCTTTACTGCTGAGTAAAACTCCATCGTATAAATGAATCATTTTCATTATCCACTCATCAATTGAGAGACACTTAGGTTGCTTCTATCTTAGCTGTTGTGTAAAGAGCAGCAACAAACATGGATGTACAAGTGTCTCTACAATAGGATGAGTTCTTTGAGTACATGCCAAGGCATGGTATAACTGGGTCAAATGGTAGGTTCATTTGTAGTCTTAAGAGTCCTCCACACTGCTTTCCCATAGGGGCTGAACAAGTTTGCAGCCCCACCAGCAGTGGATGAGTGTTCCCCTTTCTCCACATCCTCTCCAACATTTGGTATCATTTGTTCTCTTGATCTTAGCCAATCTGACTGGAGTAAGATGAAATCTTAAAGTGGTTTTTAATTTGGTTTTAATTTGCATTTCCCTAATAGTGATGTTGAACATCTTTTAAGATGTCTCATAGCCATCTTTACTTCTTTTCAGAACTCTCTGTTCAGTTCCTTAGTCCATCTTTTAATTGGGTTGCTTCTTGTCTAGGTTCTCTGTTTTTTAAGTTCGTTATATATTCTGGTTATTAAACCTCTGTCAGATGTGTCGCTGGTGAA